AATCTACAAATCGATATTACAAGATTACAAGATTTGGGATTATTGAATAAATAGGAATTTCGAGTTTTACGAGCTTAAATACCAAATAAAATTTTTAAGCAAAAGTCCGAATCATTTTATGTTTACCAGTTATTAATTTCATAATGCTCGCTTTACAAGTCAAAATTATGATTTAAACTTGAACTACAAGTTGACAAGTGGTATTGTGGACTATTATTAATTTTTGCTTATCAAAAAAATCTAATTTTACAAGCCATAGTTACGTTTTAGAGAATAAATTTTTGAGTTTAATTTGAGATATGTAGTTTACCTGTGGATTTTTTTTGTGTTACAAGCTAGAATTTCGTGTCACAATTTTACAAGTTAGATTTTTTACAAAATAAAATATATATTAAAGTGTCAATTTAGAATTTTACGAGTTAGAATTTCTGACTTAGTATTGCCTGTTTTAGAAGTCAAAATTAATAGAATAGAATAGAACTAAAATTTCACGTTTTCAAGTGGCATTATAAAAAAATCAAGTTTTACAAGCCCCAGTTATAAATATAATTCGTAATTATAAGTCGAGTTTACAAGTTCTTATTGGTCTTTTAGAGATTAAATTCGTGGTTTTAACTGAAGATTGTGAATTTTTTTATGTAACAAGCTAGAATTCCATATACGATTTTACAAGTTAGTGTAAATTTGTATTATAAGCCAAAATCGCTGTTTTAAGTGATGTAATAAGTTTAAAAGTGGAAATTTCAAGTTTTACAAGCCTGAATCACAATTATTGGTTGTTTTAGAGAATAAAGTCTTGGTATTAATTCGAAATTTGGAGTTTACAAGTGGTAATTTTCTATTTACAAGCTAGAATTCTGAATTTGACTCAAGATAACAAATTTAAAATTCGGGATTTGTCCCTGGTATTTTGGTTTTATAATTTGGTGACTTGTAATTTCTAGAATAAAATTTTGAGTTGAATACATATTTTTCAATGCAATATTAATTTGTCCAGATATCAACTCATTTATTCTCGAATGGCATCTTCGGCTACGACATCTTCAGTCTAGACATCCAGCGGGGGCGCGACCACGGTTTGCCCCCTTACACCGCCTACCGCGCTTTATGCGGCCTCCCCGAAGTCACCCAATTCAAAGACCTCTCCGACGTCATGTCACCCGAAGTCATCGAATCCCTATCACGTGTCTACAACAGCCCACGTGACATTGATTTAATCGTCGGTGGAATTGCCGAAAAACAAACCGGGGATTCCCTCTTCGGTCCCACATTTACCTGCATCGTCGCTGACCAGTTTTTGCGAACAAGGCGTGGCGATCGCTACTTTTACACCAATGAGAATCAACCGGCGCCTTTTAGCATCGCCCAATTACGAGAAATTGAAAAAGTCACTCTGGCGAGGATTTTTTGCGATAATGGGGATGATATCGAGATGATGCAACCGGAGGTGTTCAAGAGGATTAGCGATAGGTTGGTATTACTGGTTTTTGGGGGATTTACTTAGTAATTTTTTTGGGTTTAGTAACAGACTGATGAAATGCGATTCCGGAGAGATTCCAAAAGTCAATTTGAAGATGTGGATGGATAGTAGGAGGAAATACTATTAGTGCCTTAAGACATTAAGGTAGCATCAGTTCAAGACTGATTTATTATGGCTGTTTCATTAGATTTTAAGTTTTTTTATGAGAAAGGAAATTTCTTAATTTACTGAGAATTAGTTACATATCTTTAGTAACAGTATTTATTTCATATTGTATAGTGACACAAATTTTGTAATGCTCAGTACATAAAAATTGTGCAATTCTATTTATTGTAAAATGTAACATATTCTTAAGTTTTTTCTTAAGTCAAACTATATTAGTTTGACTTTTATCTAGTATAGAACAATTTTATATCGATGTAAAAATTATATTGTACAATATTACGTTTTCTACGTGGTGGAACAACAAAATAAAATTATTACTTCCAAAACTTGTTTTATTTTTATTCAAATATCAATTATGACACCTGTACAAAAAAGAACTTGACAACTTCAATTCCTCAACAATTCTTATAAATTTAAAATATCGATATTACAAGATTCAGGTTTATCGAAAAGAAATTTCCAATTTTACAAGCTTAAATTCCAAATAAAATATAAAATGGAAATTTTGAATTTTACACGCCAAAATTATCTCAATCTTGTTTAGTCAACAGTCGATTCTCAAAGCTAGTATTTTTTTTCAATTGGAAATTTGTATTACAAGCTGAATTCCAGATTTGTTTTAAGTCAAGTTTTTCTTTTACGAACTAAATTGTTAACTCATCTTTAAATTCAATCTTATAAATCGAAAGTTTTCATCTGCAAATTGGTATTACAAGTTTATAAAATAGTTACATTTTGGGTTTTACATAATTACAAGCTAAACTGATAAAATTAGTTTATAAAAAAGAATTTTAGTCTGCCAATCGGTATTTCGATTTAAGATTATCAAATAAAGAGGAAATTTGGGTTTGTAACTGGGAATTATCAGTTTTACAAGTGCTATTGAGGATAACTAGACAGCAATTTTGGGTTATCAAAAGTTTTACAAGTTACAGTTGTGAAATATTTAAGGCTCCAGACCCCCTGGAGCCCCTAATAATGAACCAAAAAAAAGTCAATTTTTCTCTTGATTTTAGATTTTGCTCGTTTTAGGTGAAGCGAAAAATGTTTCTCCTTTGCAGTTTTGGCGTAAAATGAAAGATACATTTTTTTTTAATTTATTAATAAATAATGATAGTTTTTGTTAAAAATGACTTTGTTTTTTATCTTAAAGCTATTTCTTTGAGTTGCTATTTATCAAAATTATGTTTTTCCCACACTTTTTTTTCTTTAACTTGCGAAAACTCATTTGTCAAAGTGACATTATTGTCAAAAAATTATTCCATTCCATTTCCAAATTATTCAATTAGTCCAAAATCAATAAGAGAATAATGAACTTACACCAAATCTGAACAGTTCATTCGGTACCCTAGAGCCTTAAAGTTACCTCGTTTCATTTTACTACTAAATTTATTGATTTTAATTTGAAGATTTAGAGTTTATCAATTTTTTGTGTTACAAGCTAGTATAGTGATGATTTTACAAGTTAGATTTTTTAATTTAATTCAGAATTTTGTGACTATAAATCAATGTAATTTTAAATCGAAGTTTTACAAGTTAAAATTCCTAATTTTCAAGTGGGAATTCCGAGTTTTACAAGCCTGAATTGCAACTATTGGCTGCTTTAAGAAATAAATTCTTGGTATTTATTCGGGGTTTGCAACTGGAAATTTTCAGTTTCACAAACATATAGGTACCATATAAAATATATAGTGGGAATTTTACAATTTACAAGCCAAAGTTACCGAATCATTTAAAAATTACCAGTCATCAATTTTATATTGCCCATTTTCCAAGTCAAAATTATGAATATAGTTTGAATTACAAGTTTACAAGTGCTATTGAGGATTATTAGACAGCAATTTTGGGTTATCAGAAAATTTAAACTTTTACAAGTCACAGTTGTGAATAAAATTCAAAGTTACCAGTTTACAAGTTATATTGGTCGTTTCAAAAAACAAATTATTGATTTTAATTTGAAGATATAGAGTTTACCAGTAGATTTTTGTGTTACAAGCTAGTATTCCTAGTGATGATTTTACAAGTTTAGTTCAGAATTTCGTGATTATAAATCAATATAATTTTAAATCGAAGTTTTACAAGTTAAAATTCCAAATTTTCAAGTGGAAATTCCGAGTTTTACAAGGCTTTACAAGGGTTTACAAGTGGTAATTTTCGATTTACAAGCTAGAGCTAGAATTCTGAATTCAAGGTAACGAAAAATTCGCAAAAATTTATCAGAAATTTGGGTTTTATTGCTTTTATTCATTCCTTTTCGATGTTATTCAATGGTATTGAGGAGATGAAATTATCTTGTTGTTTAGTCAACAGTTCAAATTTTCTGACGACGTAAGTTATTACAAGCTAGCATTTTTTTATTGAAAATTTTGAGTTTATAATTTGTATTAGAAGCTGAATTCCGGGTTTTTCTTTTACAAGCTAAATTATTAACTCAACTTTAAATTCAATCTTGGAAATCGAAAGTGCAAATGGTATTACAAGTTTACAACTCGGAATAATTACATTTTGCGGTTTACAGGACATAATTAACTAATTACTAGCTAAACTTAAAAAATTAGCTTTAAATATGAGTTTATAAATAAGATTTTAAATCTATCAATTGGTATTACAAGATTTAAGATTATCGAATAAATAGGAATTTTAGGTTTGTAACTAGAAATTTGGAGTTTTACAAGCTTAAATATTAAATAAAATAACTAAATTTTACAAGCCAAAACTACTGAATCATTTTAGAATTACCAATTATCAATTTAATATTGCCCGTTTTACAAGTTAAAATTATAAATTTAAGCTGATTTACAAGGTTACAAGTGTGATTAAGGATTACTAAACAGAAATTTTGGGTTGTCAAAAAAAAGTTTCACAAATAAAATTTTTAAAAAATAAATTTTTGATGTCTTGATATTTGGAGCGTCACAAGCTAAAATTCCGCGTTACGATTTTACAAGTTAATTTTTTTAAATAAATTTTAAATTTCGAAAATATAAATCAGTATTATAAACAAAAATTAAAGTTTTAAGCGAAATAATAAGTTGGCAAGTCGAAAGTACGATTTTACAAGCTAAAATTCCAAATTTACAAGAGAATTTCGGGATTTACAAGCCTGAATTGCAACTTTTGGCTGTTTTAAGAAATACATTTTTGGTATTTATTCTAAATTTGGGGTTTGCAACTGAAAATTTTCAGTTTTACAAGCATATAGGTACAACCATATACCTAAAATATATAAAGTAGGAATTTTACAATTTACAAGCCAAAGTTATTTGGACAGCAATTTTGGGTTGTGATTAAAATTAAAAGTTACCAGTTCACAAGTAATTAATGGTCGTTTCAGAAAACAAATGATTACCTAATTTTAATTAATGATTTAGAGTTTATCCATTTTTTATGTTACAAGCTAGTATTCCAAGTGATGATTTTACATAATAATATCATAATTTTAAATCAAAGTTTTACAAGTTAAAATTCCAAATTTTCAAATTTTCAAGCCTGAATTGCAACTATTGGCTGTTTTAGGAAATAAATTCTGGGTTTAGAAGTGGTAATTTTTGGTTTACATATTAGAATTTTGAATAAAATTTAACGAATTTAAATTCGAGATTTGTCACAAAATTTTTAGGTTTTATAATTTTGGGACTTGGAAAAAATCTTTTTAATTAAAAATCTGTGGATTATAATGAAACCAGTTCAAAAAAATCCGCGAACAATTTCAATTCTTCAACAATTTCTTCTAAACTCATTCAAGACCAGCAATACACTCCAACAAAATATATAAACAAATTTTAACAATAGATAGTCCTATTTTACGTTTTTAGAGTATATGTAGTGTTTTTATTAGTTGTTTCAAATTGCTGTGACTAGTGGTTTAGCAACAATTAATCGTTGTCTAATTTCTTGCAATTTGGAACAGATATTATTGTTATTATTTGATTTTTAAGCGTGAATAAAAAAAGTGCAAGACTTTGGTGTTATTGAGTTTGATTTTTACAATCTCAAAGCTCCTCTGTCTACTGGGATCCTGGTGTCGTACAAAGACGGCGCCTGGAAGATGATCCCGCACGTGCCCCCAATACACGCTAGCGTGAAAACCCATAAAAAGAACCGGTCAAGAACCATTGAAACGAATTTCCAATCCTCAACAATCTGGAAATTTTGGTTAAAATTTTGCTCAAAATTGGGTGCCAGTACCTCGTTGTCTTTGTCAGCGTCACTGATGTGTTGTGCGATAAATCGAACACCCTGTAGAGCCGAAAGAACGTTGGCTGAGAGCGTCCGTGGGGTCATATTCGAGGAACCAGTCACTGAAAAAAATCAATTATTCTGGTACCAAAATTTTGCAAATACTACTCGACGAATGTGCTTTCATTTTGCTGTCGTCGTCGGGATTTTGCAAAACGAAGCTTGGTTCCCGTGTTGTGATCTTGAAATCGGTGTTGAACGGGTCCCTCATGTTCAATCTGGAAGCTACAGTGAAAATTTGACTTAAATTTAGGTTGGTACTAACTGCAATTCCATTTCGTTGGTGTAGCCCCTTGGTGGGAGATTGTCATCGTACTCGGGAAGAGTGTAAGTGGTCCTTCGCATAATCAACAGCTTTGGCATAAACTGAAGAAAGATTTTGCGCACCATGGGTGACATTTTATGGGTGGAAGGTGACCGAAAATGGACATTGAGGACACACACAGTGACCCAAATGGAAGACGTGACTAGAATCATGGTAAAAAGGAGGTACTTCCCCAGAAGGGGGACCGCAAGGGATGTTGGAGGGATGATTTCAGCCAATAAGAGGAAGAAGACAGTCAAGGAGAGGAGAATTGAGACGCAAAGTGAGACTTTTTCGCCCGAGTCAGACGGGAGGTAGAAAACTAGTACCGTAAGAAATGTTATTCCGACACAAGGGATGATCAAATTGACGGTGTAGAAGAGGGTTTTGCGTCGCATTGTAATCTTGAAAGTGATATCGGAGTAAGGTTCACTGCAACAAGGGTAATACTCTTCGTTACGAGTTGCTGGTACTGCAAGAATGTCCCATTCGACGGAAAGGTAAAACTCCGATAAGTCAATCCCGACGTTGACTATATTGGAACCAGGAACCTGTTCCATGTGTTTCAAATCGACCTAAAAGCAATTTTTTGATTTTGATCAAGTACACCCGGGGAAAAAACTAAAGTCTGTTTTTTTTTTAAATGGAAATTACCAAGTCAAAATTTTGGTGAAGAAATTGGTAGCAGCTTGTCTCCATAGCCACAAATTTTGTTTGCTCTTTGTTTTTGTCTCTAGAAATTATGTTAATGTGTTCAAATTGAGATGTCAAAATTTTGACTTTTATGAATCTTGTGTGCCTGTTTGCTTTTTGAAAGCGCCATAATTGAATACCTGAGGACAGACATCATTACCTAAGGTCTAAATACAGAATTCAGTGGTAATAATTTTGATAGAAACACACCGCAATGTTGTGGACAAAAATGAGATTTTTGCTACAAAAACTTTGAAGAAAAAGCATGTATATACAGAAAGAAGTTATTTAGCAAAAGATACAAGTAGGTATTTTGATGATTGGCAATAAATATTGTGCAATTTATTGAAATGAGCTCAAAGTTGATGCATTTTATAAAATCTTCTTCAGCTTTAGTTTCAAAATTGTTACTTTTTCAACTCGTTCCTGAAAAACGATGCACAAGACACTAATTTAAATGCGTTCTTTCCGAGGTTCTTTCTCATTCATGTTTATTTTGTATTCTTGTCAATTTTTTGCTAAAAATTAAGAATGTTTAGCAAACCTGCATTACAAATTGCGTCTACATTTTAACGGGTCCTTTTTCTAACTTCCTGCTTGCGAACTATTCGTTTCCAAATTTCGAAAAACTGTTAGAAGTACCGAATTTGTTTCTTTTTTGGTGTGATGCCAACGTTAAGACTATTTGGCATTTCCATTAAAAAAAAAAAAACAAACTTTATTTACCAGTCTAACTTTCTGCTCACACTGCGCTTTGTTGCAATAGTGTTCCCGACTAACTAGTTGGGGAGCAGATAATATGTCGGAAGACCCTTATTTAGGAAATTGGTCCAGACCCAAAAAATGTCTTTTTGTGAAAATTACTTCAATGGGCGTAGATTATAACGTGTACATTAAATTGTGATTATAATAAACAAGCTTGCTCAAATTATCAAATTACAAATACATAAATTTATTTAAGAAATGTATTTTGCAAGTATACAGTATGTTCCCGGATCAAGTTTAAATAGGAAAAAAAAATTTACCTTTGATTTTACGACAAAATTGCAAAGGAAAAACACTTTTAGCTTGACTTGACTTTTAAGGTTCTTGATCTACAGCTTTCAAAAATCAAGATTGTAGAACTAGTGTTAAATGCCAGAATTTTTTAAAAAACTGTGAATTTTGCCAATTTCTATCAAATTATTTCTTTTATAATCAAAATTCTGAACTTAATAATACATTTTACAATAGCTAAACAAAAAGGAAACAAATTTTTACCTTTGATTTTACGTTCAAAAAGTAAAGGAAATACTTTTTTTCTATAGCAGTTGTTAAACTATTTTTTTATAAACTCTTTTGAGTAGATAAAGTAACACTTTAACAGCAAGGAATGTTTTTGCTTTATCTGAAACGAGCAAATCTGTAATTAAAACTTCATTATTCTGTCTCAGTAGAAAGAAAAGTTAATTTTTTTCTTACTTTTGGACTTTTCAAGTCTCATCACATTTTATTTTTTTGACAACGATGTCACTTTGACAATTAATTAATTAATTGAATAATGTTTGTTTTTGTGAAAAATGACTGTTTTCTTCAGAAGCTGTTTTTTTGACTTATCATTCATTAAAATTATATTTTTTTACAAACATTTTTGTTATTTAACTTGTGTTAACTCATCTATCAAATCGTTGTCAAAAAAATAAAACGATATTGTGATGGGATTTAAAACGCATAGAAAAAATTACACTATTTTACACGATTTTTATACCTTAGCCGAAAGTTATAATTTCTTATAGATTTTGAGGCACTGTATGTAATTAACAAAAATACAAAAACTTCAAAACGGTCTTTTTCTGAAAATTTCTTCAATCAGTATAGATTATTAAATGGTGATTATAATAATTTGCAAAATGACACTAAGCAAATTTTAGATAAAAAAATGCATGCCCATGTATTTCATTATTTTAACAAAATGTTTGTGATTTACTTTTAATTTTGTTACAAATAGCTAGTTTCTTCCGTTTTTTATACTTACTTTTATTACTTCTAAACAAAGCAAAAAAACCCAAAGTAGTAAATTTAATGCCATAATAATAATAACTAATATTGTACAGTATGTTCCCGGATTTTTTTTTTTATTTTGCGCTAACACTGCAAAAGAAAAACATTTTTTGCTTCACCTGAAACCAGTAAGTCTGTAATTTTAAAAGTTCATTATTTTCACTCAGTGGAAAGAAAGTTTAATTTTTCTTTTGATTTTGAGCTTGTAATAACTAATAATACTATAGTCTACAAACAATAACATGTTTAATATACCTTTAATCGAATTATTATTTTTATGTTAACTTATCTTTAATTAAACAAAAATAATTGTTAAATTTTTCTATTACGTCTCAGTTTTTTTGTTACAGACGATAATTTTTCTGCTTTCTGCACAAATTCCTTCGATTTAAAACTTATTTAAATTCAATTTGTTGCTGAATTATTGCAAAATTATTACCATATGGGTCTAAATAGGTCTTAAAAACATTTCACTTTTTTTCTAAAAAGTGACAAACAAGACGAGCGTTTTCATCCAGATCTCAAGGGTTTTCAAAGATCGACACGAAGGTTTTTGGGATGAAAATATGTTAGTAGATTTCTGTTCGATTGTTATAAAGAAAACTGATCCAAAAAGGTATAATAAAAAAAAGTAAAATAACTCATTTTTAATTTGTTCTTTGGCGGTTTTTGTATTTTTGTTAATCACATATTTCTAAACGTAACGTGTTGAACTTTTTTAAATAGTTTTTTTTGAACTCAGTGCCTCAAAATCTATAAGAAATTATAACTTTCGGCTAAGGTATAAAAATTGTGTAAACTAGTGTAATTTTTTCTCTGCGTTTTAAATCCCATCACAATAGCGTTTTAATTTTTTTGACAACGCTTTGATAGATGAGTTAACACAAGTTAAATAACAAAAATGTTTGTAAAAAAACATAATTTTAATGAATGGCAAGTCAAAAAAACAGCTTCTGAATAAAACAGTCATTTTTAACAAAAACAAACATTATTCAATTAATTAATTAATTGTCAAAGTGACATTGTAGTCAAAAAAATAAAATTGCCAATGTGATGGGACTTGAAAAGCAAAGAAAGATTATTATTACAAGTCCAAAAGTAAGAAAAAAAATTAACTTTTCTTTCTACTGAGACAGAATAATAAAGTTTTAATTACAGATTTGCTCGTTTCAGATAAAACAAAAACATCCCTTGCTGTTAAAGTGTTACTTTATCTACTCAAAAGAGTTTATAAAGAAATAGTTTAACAACTGCTATAGAAAAAAAGTATTTTCTTTACTTTTTGGACGTAAAATCAAAGGTAAAAATTTGTTTCCTTTTAATTGGCTATTGTAAAATGTATTATTAAGTTCAGAATTTTGATTATAAAAGAAATAATTTGATTGAAATTGGCAAAATTCACAGTTTTTTAAAAAATTCTGGCATTTAACACTTGTACAATCTTGATTTTTGAAAGCTGTAGATAAAGAACCTTAAAAGTCAAGTCAAGCTAAAAGTGTTTTTCCTTTGCAATTTTGGCGTAAAATCAAAGGTAAAWTTTTTTTTCCTATTTAAACTTGATCCGGGAACATACTGTATACTTGCAAAATACATTTCTTAAACAAATTTATGTATTTGTAATTTGATTTAAATAGTTTTTTTTGAACTCAGTGCCTAAAAATCTATAAAAAAAATATAACTTTCGGCTAAGGTATAAAAATCGTGTAAAAYAGTGTAATTTTTTCTCTGCGTTTTAAAACCCATCACAATAGCGTTTTATTTTTTTGACAACGATGTCGCTTTGTTAGATGAGTTAACACAAGTTA